TAAAGCGGTTACTAGAGTTAAGAAATCCACGAGATGGCGACCAAGCAAACAATGTACAATGTATTACAGAGTACACCGAATTGAATGGAAACGGCAAAGAGTCAATATTTAACAGGAAGAATCAAATTAATCACGGGGCAAACGATAATGTTTGCGGACGGCGTAACGTCTGAACGATAACTGAACGGAGTAGAGCGAACTTACTTTCCGTAAGTTATTTTTTAAGAAGTTAGAACCGTCGGCGAGCAAAGTCAAAAAATTTCCGTCAGAGAGACGGGAATCAATATGAAATGAAAATAGCGTAACTTTCAAGTAGAACAGGGTTTCCATATACTTATAAGTGTTCATACATTTTATGAAAATACAATATAAAATATATTACACTATATATAGTATTTTATTATATATGTCATATTTTATTTATATTTATATATTTAGTAATATATATATATATATATTTTCACAAATAATTCAAGCCTTTAGGAATGTTTCTGCAGAATTTTTTAACGAAAATTATAAATTCGTCATTCTGACCATGTTCGTGGAGGAAAATAAATTTACCAAGTCACTTTTCAGATAAAAGACTCGCAGAAATTTTTTTTAAAGCTCGAAAGATCACTATTAAAACAGAAAATTGAACAGAAGTTATTATCCAAGATTGTAAACTCGAAATAAATTTCGAAATTACGGAATTATGTATCTTTAAGGGGGAAACATATATCTTTGAAAGTATAATTAAATATACAAATTTAATTAATCTTAAGTGAAGTATTTTAAATGAAATTTTAAATAGAATTACAATTGAATTTTAGTAAAAAAAAAAAAAAAAAATTCTTTCAAGAGTTAAATATTATAAAAGCCACTGTACTTCAAATATTTTATATATTTCTTCATATTGCATTCATGTTGTACATTCTGCACAACTTTGCACTTTGAAATTTCCTACAAATGCATGAAAACTCCCAGTCTAAACATTACAATAATACATACTCCATTTTTTTTTTTTTTTTTTTTTT